AAAAAAAAATGAAATTTAGATTAGTCAAGAAAGGATATATACATATATGTTAAGGATCATCATTCGTTCAATGTATCAACAAGAAATGATATATACATATATGTGAGACAATTTTCTCTGTGTGGATATGTACATTGTCTTCCTTTCACTAGTTTCACTATTACATTTGTGGTTCTTCTGGGGGTATTTCAATTGGTTCAGTCCATGACCTGCCAACTTCGGTCACAAATCTCTCTATGAGTTCTGCCCTCATCAACCTTATCTCTTGTGTGGATAATTTGGATTTGATAGGTTCATGCTTGCTATATTGTTTCATTATATAGCAGACGAAGAGGCCACAATCCAGACTGCATACAAATTATAGGTATGGTTAGTTTTAAGAAACATGCAACTGAAATTATCTTATTTATAGATGTATGAAACTTACGAATCGCTTTCTTGTTGTGGAGCATTGTTGACATACTCAAAGTCATAACTTGTGTTTTGTGAGTTAATTAATTTGAAAGAGGGTTGTGATTGAGCGTCTCTTTCAAGACAAGCTTTCAGAAAATTCTCCACGTAATCTTGCTGCAAAAAAATAATTTTTATATAAGAGAGAAATTTACGGACAAGTCAATGGGATTCTATGAAAATTATCATCACATAAAGATGATGATGGATCAGAGAAATTTGCACTCGTTACCAATTGTTTTGCATCTTTGACATATTTGTCTTCTGCATCATCCCTCCTTGGCCTCAGTGAGTTGTAGAACCTCCATAAATTGTCTTGTTTGTCCAGGACAAGCAAGGTCCAGTGATTTCCATGTGTGGACTTCTCATTACCTCCAGTATTTATTGGGAAATGGAGGAACCTATAGTTCCTCCATGCTGTTTCAATATGCTTGTCAAATAAGGACACTCGAAAACTTTGATTTTCTGTCATGTTGATGAAATTCTGTGCTCAGAGAAAATCAAAAAATGGTTTTGTTAGTGACACAACTGACTTCAAGAAGTATATTAAGAAGAGAAAGTAGAAAGTAAATTCCAGAGAAAATCAAATAAAATAGTAGTAACATACTAAGCACATGGATGTGAAAAAAAATGAGGTTGGTTGTTGTTTCTCTCTGATTTGGTCAGCCAAAAGGATCTCTCCATAGCCATCAATGACCTGAAAAATATGATTTATAATTGTAATATTTGTTTTATAAAGGCTGATGGAACATTGCAGAGAAATGTTGATGAAAGGGAAAGACTTACATTGTTGGCAATTTCTTTTTGCTTTATGAGGTTTCCAATGTCTTCAAAGGTAATGATATTCAACTCACTTGTCCAAATTAAAGCTCTACAAGATGACAAAGAAGGGATTGAATTGTTGTTAATGCAACATAAGTTTGTAATTTGTTGTTTGTTATGTTCTATTTTGTTTGTTGTACTTACTCAAGCCCAGACACGTTTGATATGTGCTGCAAGATGTCTTTTATATGATCTTTTATCAATCTTGAAATGGGAAGAGTTTGTGGAAAGACCCAAGATTTTGTGATGTTTATAGGTTGAGGCAAGATGTACGCATCAGCATCAAGCACTTTTTTGTCCTTCGTGCTTTGCTCAACTTGTTTTGCAGCTTGTTTTGAAGCTCTAGTCACTTTCGTAACTTTCGGATATTGGAATTCTGGATCATGCTGCTTTTCCTTCCTTTCTTTTGCCTTTAAATTTTTTATCATTGAGGTTGGATCTTTTTTGACTGTAGGCAGTGAAAATATTAGGAAAAGTGAAATTTCTCTGAAGCAACAGATGATATTTCAATATGTAAATTTATTTAATTCAATATTTTGTAGTTACCATAGAGTTTCTTCTTTTGTTTCGGTTGTTGTTTGTGTGGGATTTGCTCTTGTTGGGTTGTTGGTTGTTGTTCCACTTGCATTCCAACTATACACAGTGAAAATCAAACAAGCCCCAAAAATGGAATAAGAAAATATACAGAGAAATGAAATGAGCAGTAGAAATATAACTAATGTGTTCAGAGAAATATAACTTCCAGAGAAAATTACCAATGATAGAGAAAATTATAATAAATAGAAATTTCTTTGAGTTATGTTGACACAAGGACATAACTTTTTGTGGCTCAAGATTTTCACTGACCTTGTGGTTGAAGTTGTGTTGGTGTTCGGTATGGTTGTGTTGCTAGTTGGACGGATAGTTCTTGAACTTGTTCATGCAATTTAGCATTTTCAATTTCAAGCTCCGAATTTGAACACCTCAACTGTTGAATTGTTTTTGTATCGTCTTCTTTTTCAACCTCCAACATCCTTAGTTTTATTTGGATTGTGCTTTCTTTTTCTTGAAGTTCTAAGTGAAGTGATGTCAGGATTCTTATTGCAATATCCTTTTCAACAAGTAATTTAATCCAATTTCTCTCTTCTTCTTTTTTAGATTGAGAAAGTGCCTTCAGTCTTTGACGTAGATCAGCAATTTGGGCATCCTTTGATTCCCCAAATTCTTGAGGCTGATGCACTGTTGAGCCACAAATGATATCACGTTGTTGGTCCATCGGCTCATTACGTTCTTCTTCATCACTTTCCTCCTTGTTCTCTTCTTGCTATTCATCTTCTTCTTCATCTTCTTGTTCACTGTCTTCTTCTTTCTGTTCATTTTGTTCTTTGTCTTCTGCTTCTATTTCTTCACTTTCTTCTCTGGTTTCTTCTTCTCCACTGCTTGCTTGATCTTCTTGTCCATTGCTAGCTTCGTATTCTTCTATGTTTCCTTCTGCTTCTTTATTCCCTCCTTCTTCAGATGGATCTTGTAATGTCTCCTTGAATTTGACAATTGCCTTTTTTTATTCTTTCTTCGTGTTTTTACCAAGACAGAACTCCTCTGATGGGTTTTTGACTAGATGCTTGTTATCTATCTGTAACAGGAGACTCTTTTATTAAAGAAATGTTACAAAATTCACTGAAATAAAAAATTCAAATAAGGAAAATAAAATTCATCTAAATGATACTAATGGGAAACAAACTTCAGAGAAAATTGTATGGGCCAGAGAAAATTAGAGACGAGTTAATTTTATGAGGCAGAGAAAATTATGAAACAAGCAACATAATTTAGATATCAGAGAAAATCAATCAAGGCATATAAGTTAACGTTTGACTATAATTGTGTCAGAGAAATTTGGATTCCAGAGAAAATTCATTAGAATGGTAGAAATAAATAGTGTTTATCAAAGATGCAAGGCACATAAGTTATGGGCAAAGAAAATTACACACACGGAGATAAAATTTTATGGGCCAGAGAAAATTATGAAACAACCAACATAATTCAAATATTAAAGAAAATCAGTCAGGGCATATAAGTTAATGTGTTACAATTGTGGTCAGAGAAATTTGGATGGCAGAGAAAATTGATTACAATTGCAGAAATAGACCAGTGGTAACCAAAGAAGAAAACATAAATTGATAGTTCAGAGAAAATTGATCTTAATCAATCAATGCACAAGGAGGGAAACAAAGCAGTGGTCAGAGAAATTTTAGAATTTCACTGAGATTTCAGTAGCAATAGGAATCTAACCTGTCGAGGTGCAAGAGAGTGGACTGGTGTCTTCTGCAGCTGTTTCGTCAAGGTTTGCAGGTTCCACTTGGCACATCTTGGGAAGTCAGTTGTGTTACTGTCTTCCGAGTCAATGATAGTTGCATGTTCACATAGCCAATACTGTGATGAAAATTAAAGTAAATAAAATTTTCTAAATGCACAAATTTGTAAGTATGATAAATGCAAATTTGAATGGATATTATACTTACCAGCAATGCAATGACACACCCTGTAACTTTTTCTAGAGTTTTGTACAATGCCATGATGGAATCAATCAATGTTGATGTGATTGCTTCTGGCCAATCATATTGTTTCATTGATTCAAGAGGTTCCACATACTTTATAAAAACCCACCCTATTGAATTCCCACTTGTTGCAAAAAATAGGGTGAGACACAAGTACAATGTAACAATGATTCTTACATCTTTGAAGTCAGTTGGTTGCTTGCCTTTCATTGCTTTGACCAAGGCATTTTTAAGAACAGGACCAGTGAGCCTTGTGTCCTTTTGGAATCTTCTCCTGAGGAATGCAGATTTTGGCTTTTTAGAGTATCTTAATGACATGGCTCCTTTACCTCCTTCCAAACCAAAAATCAAGGTCATGTCATTTGTTGTAAATGTCAGGTTCTTCTTACCAACTGTGAATGCTTTTGTTTTTTCATTGTAACATTGGATTATGGCAACTACATCATCATCGGATTTCCTAGATTTCTTTGTATCCATTCTTCCAGTGGTTAGAGCTTGCATCAAATACCAGAATGGGGTCTTTTGAAGCTCTAGAAGTTGTTTTGAATTGAATTTAAGTGTTTGAAAAAAGGAGACGACAGATGAGAGGTTGGATCGGAATTGAATGCTACAGTGAGCTCTCTTTCTGTGGAGTTTAACAGGTTTTTTCCCCCTTGAGCTTGAGTCTTTTGAAGTTGAGGTACTCATCTGGTTGCTAGTTGCTTCATCACATTGGACTTGTGTGTTTTGGTGAGGAGTTTGTGGTGTTTTGCTGCTAGTTTTTTATCTTAGATCATAAGAAGACTGAGAGAGTTGTTCTTTCTTGCTTGGTGTTTCCAGTGTTTTGTTGCTGGTTTTTTATCTTAGCCCATAAGAAGACTGATAGAGTTTCTGTTTTTTGCTTAGTGTTTCCGGTGTTTCGCTGCTTTTACGTTTTGCCATTTCTAGACAATGATTAAAACATAAAGATGTCAACATTAAATCCCAGAGAAAATTGAACATGCCAGCGAAAATTGGACATGTCAGACAAAATTACAGATAAGTGAGAAAATTACAAAAAAGAGAAAATTGGAGATGTCAGAGAAAATTACAGATAAGGAAAAATTACAGAAAATTGGACATGCCAGAGAAAATTGGACATTAAAAATTAAATGTCAGAGAAAATCAACACAGCATCATAAACATGGGAGAGAAATTTTCAATAATTGTTTAAATTACATATAGAAGTAAACATACCAGAGAAAATGAATAACAGAGAAAAGTAAACATGGCAAGCCAAAGAAAATTTTCATTCCACAATTAGCAAGATAAAATAAACAAAGTAATGTAAACATGCCACTGAAAATTACACCACATTGAACAAAATAAACAGACCAGAGAAAAATATACATTCCGGAGGAAATTACACATTCTTGAGGAAATTTCCATTCTAGAGAAAATTTCAATTCATAATATTAAAATGCAAGAGAAATTTACATACACAACCAGAGAAAATTAACCATGATTGAGAAACACAATGGAGGAAAGTGGTGTGATGTGGTCAGAGAAAATTATAAATACTAGAGAAACTTAGACAGAGGCAAGAGAGTAATAGACATTCCAGAGAAAGATAGACATTCTAATTAAAAATACATATTACAGAGAAATTTACAGAGCAGGGAAATTTATAGACAAAATTACAGAAACATATTCAAGAATAAAATAAAAACACAAAAAATTGTTTTTTGAAATAAACATGCCAGAGAAAATTGAAAGAAAAAACATACATCAAGCAAAAATCAGAGAAATTCAAATGCCAGAGAAATTTACAGATAAAATCACACAAACATGTTCAAGAATAAGTTCAAAACACACAGAAATAACTTTTTCCAAATTCAGGTAGCTTTTTATTACGAAATTTAATTTATGGAAGGTTAATATAAAATGCTATTAACTGTGTTTCCAGAGAAAATCTAGTTGTATTGTAGAAAAACTTACCAGAGTTAGGATGAAACTTGAATGACGAGCTGATATGGCCTGAGATGAAGATACGACGTAACAAAGATGGACTGAGATGACGATGAGCAGTGAAAACGAAGCTTTAACGACGGTCAGAGAAATTTGTGAGGAAGGAATGGGAATGATTTTTGCAGAAGATAACGAAGCTCTAATGTCGATGGTGAAGATGATGTTGAAACCCTAATTCTGCTGTTCTCTTGTTCGTGAAGATGCTGGATGCTTGGAATGGAACTCAGACGTCGGAATGAGTTTCGTTTCTGTGTTGATTTTGGGAAGGGTATTTTGGTCCACAAAATAATTAAAAACACGCGCCAAGTTATTGAGGGACCTGATGCGTCACTATTTTTTTGGGTGTCCTTTATCCTCTAAATTATTATTATTAAGGACCTTAAAAAAATTTCCCTTTTTTCATCTTATAAAATAATTGAACCAATAACCAAGAGAATTGTCCAAATGGACACTCAGGTATCAAAGTGAGTGAAATTTCATACTTTGTCTATAGAAAAATACTAACTTGCGTTGAAATTTAAATATATACATGTTATTTGTCATCTTGGAAAAAATAATAATAATAATCAACCCAGTTTATATATATATATATATATATTTGTGTACGGAAGAAACACATTGGCCTTGTTTAGGAAGATAGTTGGATTAAAATAGCCCACTAAAAGATAAAATAGGCTAAAATAATCAATAAGACAAAATATCACATCCAATCCATAATCATTTTATTTTCTACTCACAATTATCAAATCATCTACAAAAAAAAAAGCCTACTAACTTTTCAAACACAACTTTTTCATCCAAGATAAAATAATCAAAAAACCAAATAATCAATTAAAATAACCAACCTAAACAAAGCCAATATAATGAATATTTCTATCCTATAAGTTGGCCCCCGCGCGCCTAGTCGCATGGTTGGTTGGGACAACATGTTTAGACTTGAGATATTATTCAAATACATGAAAGGTGTGAAAATGTACTCGAGAAATCTTTGTGTACACATTTATTCTACACTTAAAAATAAGGGTTTGTCAATTAACAAAGACTTAGAATGAAATTTGTAAACATTAAGGTAACAAAAGAATATATTATTTCTGATATTAGAGAATGTAGAATTTTTCTATCTTTTCTTTTTCCTCTTTTAGTTCTAACTACATTAGAAGGCAAAAGTGACAGTCTAGTGGATTTCATACATAGGCTCAATTTCTCTGCATTCATTTGAATCAACAATATCGATATACTACTTCAAAGAATTTTAGATTTCATTCCCCTCTAGATACACTTGTCAATGTCCATGCGTTCATATAGTATAACACTTGCTAATATTTTCTGCAAGCAATCAAGAATTTCATCTTCACAGTTCACACACTTAGGATCCATATGACAGTATAGTGGTTTCTTATTAAAGTAATTTTTGAAAAGAGCTTTTGTAGAAGTAAAATGACATGTAACCAAGAAGAGATTTTAGTCTCTATTCCTTGTTATCTCAAAGTGATTTAGTGCAACCAAGAATACATAAAGCACTTTGGTAATCAAGAATTGCACTCAAACCACCGCAACAAAGTACCAGATGAGCCCTTAGTGTGATATCATTAATTATTTTATAGAAATCCATTGATAATCAGTTTCATATATGCTGGCAACATACCAATGAAACATGTATTAGTGCTTCGTCAAGTGGAGTAGAGAAGTCACCAAAACGGTTAATTCCTTTTCAATCACCAAGTGCCTGGAGTAAAGCTTGCGTTAACCCGTAAAAGCTTGCGTTAACTAGTAAAGTTTTAAGACCCAAATTTTAGACCCCCTTGGGAAGTGGATCAGGTCATTACTTTGTACATAGCATATGGACATACCGTTCAACATGTAAAAAGAACACAAAAAAACAGGAAGTATCACCAAATTAATGATACAAAATCAGCAATAAAAGCAATTCCTAAAACCCTAAGATGATCCTTGTTAAGCAATTTTTAACAAAAATATAATACACCATTTTTTTTTCTTTTGATTAGCAAAGAAAAAATTTATTAACAACATGAAATTAAAGATACAGGAAAATGACATACATCAAGACAGATTCGAAAGTACAAATTATCTCTACTACTGCTACTCGCATCCATACAACCAACCCCTCAGCCTCACAATTTTTTTTTTTTTAAAACAAAAATAAAAGACAAAATCAAAAAAATAAAAAAAGTTAATGACTTAACTAAAAAATAAAATACATGAAATCCCACAAAATCAACCCACACAACCCAAAGCAAAAACACCCATGCTGCTACTGCACTCCTCCTTTCAACCAGCCACACCCTTCTTTTCAACCCAAATCACTTTTCATTTCACCAACCCACACTTTTCTATTCCACCAAAAGCTACAGCACTTATCTTTTCAATAACCCGCACAAACTAAAGACAAGACACAAGCTTGAAGAACACTGATCCATAGCATCGAAAATCGTGTCACATGCGTTAGGAACACTGCCACCATGCTGTTCCGCTGAACCGATCGAGAACTACCATCACACCTCCCATGGCCAAAAGAACCATGGCCGGAAAATAGAATATTAATTAGAAAGGAAGATAGAAAGGAAGATAGCATGGAAAATAGAATGCTCACTACTATAGCTTTTGTGTTACATCACATTAAAGGAATAATGATTAATCAATTTCAGGAGGTTACCGTTCCAATGGCAAGTGCAACATCTTCATTTGAGTGATGATAATCAATATGAATGTCACCAATAGCCTTCGCATGGACATCAAATAACCTGTGAGAAGCAAGTTGCTGACATAAATCCAAACAAGAAAAAAAAAAATTACATCAGCCTCAAATCCACCAACCAAACACAGCATAAGTGTTTGTTAACTAACTTGTTAGTTGCAGTCTATAAATAGGTGATGTAAAAACCATTGTACTCTCTCTTTTTTTTTTCCCCAAAAGAATATAGATTTGATTAGAGCAAAGTGCTCTGGTTTCTCTCTAATTTATCTCCAAATTGGGGATTTCCTCACTCTCTTGATTTGAATCTGACTGCAACTATTGGTTGCATGACAAAGTTACCTTTCCAATGCAAAATGAGATTAAAACACTTAGTGGGAATCTCTCATTCCTACACCCTCATGTGATTCTAAGAGTAAAAAAAATAAGGGCCTATAATATTTAAAATTTATTATTTTCCCATGAGCAATTCCTAACTAAACCAGACACTTTGAAAACTATTAACATAAGGATCTTATTACTAAAAATGGGTCCACGCAAGTTGTAACAGGATTCCCATTAACCAAATCCCAGGACAAGCTCAGTTGGTATACTGAAAACTGAGAGATATAAGATTTGAAATACTATTTCTTTTTCTTCTCTTTTTCTACTTTTTGAGCAACCAAACAGAGCATAAGCTTGTACTCATAATCCTAATTCAATGGGTGGTTTATTTTGAGTGGAAATATAATATATGTATTCACTTATATTGGTTAGAAAATATATCTTTCACTATTTCCTCAATCATAGAACACAGAGTAATTAACTCAATGAAATAAAAGCCATGAATCTTTTTTCCCACATGGAACAATAAACTCAATTGTATTTAAAACATTATCTTTCCTATATTTCTCTCCATAAATAAAATCACCTTATATTAAAGGAAAATACTTTCCACCATGTCCTGCAATACCATGACCTTCAATAAACTATCTACGAAAACATAAATTCAACTCTGATCCATCTATTGCATAAAGATGGTTGTGTATGGATTGCTGACATGCTGCAAAACCTAATGCCACATTCAACATTCTATTTATTCACAAAATGAAAATTTCAATAACAACAATCCAAACCACAAACTAATTGTATTAGCAACCATGCTACATGGTGGCTGAATACACCCAACTATATAATTATTTAAAGTTGCTAATCAAATCTCCCACCAACAATGATTACCTATTAATATTTTCTAACACTGAAAAAAGCAAAAACACATTTTAATTTTAGTTCCCTTTTGTTTATATGTACTAATATTATCGAATCTACCAAGGTCTGGTTCTTATCGGTATTTGAAGAACCAAGAATCAAATTTCAAATTATGAATATTAGATAGCTAGTAGAACCAAGAAGCGAAAAAACAAATAGACAATTACGAAAATGAAGATACTACCTAAAAGAAAATCAACAATAAACTCTTAGCACTTCAACTTCAGCATAACCCATGTCGTATCCAACAATAACCTAACAGCACCAAATGAAGCAAATTAGAAATGAAGATTTGAAAAAAAAAAAAAAAAAAAAAAAAAAAAAAAAAACAACAACATAACCCATGTCGTATCCACCAATAACCTAACAGCACCAAATGAAGCAAATTAGAAATGAAGATCTGAAAAAAAAAAAAAAAGAACATCATACTGTATACACAGTTCATCCTCACTATCATACAAAGAGTTGCAAGAAGAAAGCATCACATTCCTTTCGCAGACTACAAGCAACTGTTCCCAAAACCTCAACCTGAAATTTCTTTAATATTGCATGTGTATAAACTGTTGACAGTTGTTTCTCAAAAGGAGATAGAGATTTTAACACAGGCAGGTTGTGATGTGTTTCAAAATCAGCTCTGGCTTCCCCTTCACACCTATCATGCAAAAAAACTTTGTACTAATCAATAAACTCTTTAAATGTAGACTCCTTGTGTATGTGTTTATTCAACAAAGACGATATATACTCTAATTGCTCAATAGTGCACATACATTCCAGCTAAAAAGGTACCACTCATACAAGCAGGAACCCACTTTTTACGATTTCGATAGAGTGATTGAAGCTATTCATCATTCCTGAGCTCAAATTTATCAACCATTTTCCCCCATTTATTTTCAAACTCTTCATTTGTACAAGATTGGTAAATGCATTTGTTAAATTTCAACATAAAATTTTCAGACCTGTTCGCTATATGACTTAGATTTTCAGGAATTTTTCTCAACACATGCCACAAACAAAAGCAATGGCGTGTATCTGGAAACACCTATGTAATAACTTTTATAACTGAGAAATAAATTTTTTTTGTTTTCATCAGCAATATATATATATATATTTAGAACTTTGAACATGAGAGTACATGATGAGTACCAGACAAATATATCAATAAAGATCCAAAAGAAATATAGCATTTCATCAAGGCAAGTTTGAAATAAGGTAGCAAACAGCGTCTACCAAAAACAAAGTAAACAGTCAAGGGTAAAAATGAAAAGAAAAAACATAACGAACGTTCTTATAGGAATTTTAGCGAATACCTGGCATGCTTCCATTGATTGGGTCAACGAAATTAAGAATCACTCTCTCCAAAACCTTACTAAAGAAAAAGGAACAAATGAAGTACATACCAGAGGGGAGAAAGATAAATCAAAAAGGTTTTTCCCTGAATAGAAGCTCTGTCACAATTGATGGAAGAGGGGTTTCGCACGCGAATGATTGAAAGCGAATGATTGAAAACGAATTCATGAGCCACTGCTAGGAGTATGTAGAAAATGAATTCCAAACTGTAAGCATAGCATACCAGTGTGTGTGTATATATATTCACCGCCAAAACGGAAGCTTTCCAGGGCACAAATGGAAGCCCTGGGTTAGCTTCATTAGCGGTTCACTGACATGTAGTCTGTCAACTACCAGCACCGAGCCACCGCTTTCGATTGTAGCACAAAATTTTTGGAGAAGCCATTGAGCCAGCAAACAAACAGAGGCCAAGCGCTTCAATTTGTCCGTTGTAAAGCATTAGGAAGCAAGTAGGAGCAACAACGTTGGGAAGCAAGCAAGAGTGTTAGATTCCAGTTCACCTACCATGAATCCGTGATGGCCTTGAGTAGAGTGGATGGCGGTGGACGTGCAGTTCTCTGTATTTATTCTTCTACTGATGAGGATGAGTCGTTTACGTAGCACACCATCGATGCTACCAGTTGTTTTTTGTGAGACCACGTGGCCGATAGATTGCAAGCCCATACCATATGGCTTCAGATTTGCATCAATGGCCGTGGGCGGTGGGCGAACCAGGTAATTTGAGAGAGTTTTGAGGATACTGAAGTCATATAACTATTATATAAAAGAACAAAAGCAAGTAGGCGATGTTACATAAAAATTAAATCATAGCATGAGACAGTTCAGCAATTAAAATGTGGTGTTTGTCTTTTTTAAAGACAATTCTATTTATACATAAAATTTATACAAAAAAGAGTACTATAAAAATAATGTGATGCTGATATTGTTATAAATAAAAATAATCTTCATGATATTTTGTTTTAAAATAAAAAGTGCTCATTAAACTATATCATTATATATATATAATTTCTTAAAAAATTCTCACTATCATCAATAATGTGTTCTCAACAACTAAAAAATATATATATATATCAATAATGAAGAGGAATAGATGATGGTCAGTGTTGAGCTGAAAGGTCTTGTGAGTGTTGATTTTCGACCTCACAATCAAATATGGAACTTAGATGGAGAGCATGCGGCAAAATAGATTACACCAACCACCTACCAATAAGAAAATTAGAATACCTCAATGGCTCGTCCACCCGAGGACATTGCGACGATCAAATTAGTCAATCTTATCTCTCAAGATATCAAAAAAGTACTAAACTCACAAAATAAAGCATATATTCGACCCACGGGGGGGTCTATCTTTTATAACCTCTAGTGCCCTTGTCCCCCTAGAAGTCTCACGTCATAAGACTCAAGCACAATACTTATTTTGGACTCTTAGTTAGATATGGATAAACCACTCATATGCTTTATTCTTATCCGAACTAAGTACTTCTTTTCATCTAGGACTCTTGTCCTCTATCCAGATATCTCAGATTTCAATATTGCCACACCATATCTCCGCAACACCATAACCACCTCGGCAAGCTCGCCCTTGTGGCACCTCAGCCGACATCTCGACAGCACCTCGGATGTGTGGCGCCATTCCCGAAATACCTCCCCACAACTGCCCTCTAGGTTCTGCTACCTCGGCAACCCGAGGTAATGGAACCTACATCATTTCATCTTCTAACATGTCAGCTAAACAACATGCTAGAGATACTCAGGTACCCATTTCAAAAAGAGTTAAGAATCAAGTTTTTTTTTAACATCTCCACCGAGATCGCTTCGCTAGCCGAGGTCTTTGCCCCACTAGTTCAAGAATTTCAAGAATCTCAACTACACATGAGCTGTCATACACAATGGCCTCAACCATTTTATCCACGTGTCCTTTCTCTATTGCTTCATACCCGTCACGCATCAGATATGTCCTTTTACTTCTTTTCCACGCCGTCTGATAGGCACGTCATCCTAGGCCAGTTTTGTCGCCTTTTTAAATTTCAACAAAACTTTTCCCTCTCACTTCTGTCCTTTCATTTTCACATTTATCTCATTCTCTCTCTTCACTCAGATCTTTTCTCTCTAGACTCCATAGCCAAACCTTAAAACCTTTCTGCGGCTGTTGATGTTCATTGTCTCCGACGATCAAATCGACAGTCTGTTTTGGCCAAATGCATCTACTGACTCCAGCGAACACATCTTCGGCGCTTGTTTCCTTACTCATATTCTGTAAGTCCTTGGTTTCTCTTGGTTTCATTTTTGGTTTTTCCTCCTTGTTCTTGACTATTTTTGTATTTTCAACTATTGCACACCACACACATTACACTTGTAGTTGCATTTATATCACCATTTGATGGCCTAAACTTGTGTTCTGTTGTTCTATATGCCCTTGTATATGCTTTTCGCACATCTTCTCTCACTCTTGCACACTGGTACTGAATTACCTTTTCTTGCTCTGAATTCATCAAATATGTTTGAACACGTTTTACTTTTTCCTGAGTTCTTGAACCATCTGAAATCTGTGTTGTTTTACCCTTATTTCAAGCTTTGAACCTTGTTTTCTTTGTTCATTTGTCCTATTTTGAGTTTCTACTTGCATTCTTGTGTTTATTTTTCAATTCTGAATCCTTATTGTTCATACATTTCCTAGATTCTTGCCTATTCTCCCAGTGCTCCTTATATCTAGGCCTAGGACTTGTTAGAATCGTATACACTAAGAAAATTGTAATAGATTTTGCCTTCAAGCCTTTTCTAGGATCCCAAAATTCTTAACCCCCTACTTAGTGGAACCACGCCAGGGTCCCTAAACCCACTCAAACCCTTTTTCTCTCAGAAAGTCAAAAAACCACTTAAGCCAAGATCATAGGTATGCACAAGTAGAGGGTAGATAGTCCTGCCCAAATAGAAGTCTTTCGTCGAGAGTTTAACATCCTTACCAATGTCCATATTAGACTAGCTGGAAAAGATGACTCCATAATGCCAGGAGAAGACTATATGCCCTTCCCTATGGTGTCCATCCTTAAGGGGGGAATTAGGTTTCCTCTAAATATCCTGTTTAGAGAAATGCTCCACTTCTATAAGCTGAACCATATGCAACTAGCTATCAATATCTTCCGTGTAATCAACGGAATAACCGGGCTTAACTGCCGACATAGAGCCCAACTCAACCTCCAAGACGTCCAATACTGCTACACTATGTGTACCATTGAGTCAAAAAATGGCATTACCTACTACTTGAAGCCAAGATCCACAAAATTCAAGTTGATTGCCGACCTCCCTAATTCCAATAAGGGTGCTAGGAAGGACTACCTGATTATCTCGAGCAACTGGGAGTTTGCTCAAGATGATGATCTCCACCTTTGTCCACTCCCTAGATGCATACTAGGAGATCACAAGAGTAAGTTGTTCTCTAGAACACGCACTTTTAGCACATCATCTGCTTGGATTCTCTGCTTTACTGCTTTGCTGACCATACATTACTTTCCTGTTGCTCTTCCTCAGCCTAATAAGAATTTTCGAAAAGTCTACATTTCCCGAGCCGATCTTAAGAGGTTTTTTGATTTGCCTATCAAGATCAGGAAGGCCCCTTTTCTATTAAACTATACAGCAACCTACAAGTCACCTCTTCCTGACGTCTCGTGAAGAAGCAAGACTCTTTTTACATCAGCTCCATTATAACACGTTCTGCCTTCAGAGCGAAAATGACACCGACGTCCCAATGACGTTCCCGTAAGCAGAACTAGGAGTAGGAGACGCCTCAATCAACTAATGTACGATCCTGCCAACCTGTCAATTAACCTGCTTGCATTCAAACTCGGCACCAGTGTCACCATTGTCGTCTTATCAAAGGAAATGGGTTGTAAACCTGCCATCTCCGAAGATCTGCTCTCTAGTTTGCCCGATGTGGTGACCGCTCAATCAACCCCTTCTCATTCCTTTATTCAGAAGGCCAGAAGGGTGAAAAAGGCCAAGGCCAAGGTCACTGTCACACCTTCTTTTGAAGAGAAGGATCTTGAGGATGCAGTTCTAATATCCAAACTTGTTGAGGCCGAGAAGAGGCTAGCCTCTGTTGACTTCGCCGATGTCCTGCCATCGAAAAGGCTGAGACTTTCTGCTCATCTGATTCATTCGTCCCCAACATCACCATCGATGGTCGCCCTATCAAGATAAGTGAGAGTGTAGCTCGCCAGTATGAGGTCATTGTTGCTCTGTCCTCCGCCGCACTTCTTTCCACAAGTCATAGGTGATTTCAACGAGTACGAGCATTTCACCTATATGTGTGACACCCTAATTGTTTAATTAAATACCATGTATAATTAGAATAAAATAAAATAGTGAATGCTATGGTTGTATGTGATAAAATGAAATTTAATTAGGGATTATATATTATCAAAATATGGTATATAATTAGTTTAAAAATTGGGCCAAATTATAATTAAATCAAAGATTAAAATAAATAAAAATTCCCTACATGTTCTCTAGCCTAGCATGTAGATTGATGAATATGCATGTGTACTTGTAAAGACTTGGTGAGTCACCTAATCTAGAGGGATAAGTGGAAACCTGTTAGATAGATGGCCAGGTTGTAAACTTGCCATGCATTAACTTTTGATTAGGGACTAAGGGTTTTCACCAACTATAAATAGAGGGGTTAGTGGGTTGCTAAGCGGGAGGAGAAAGGATATAACTAAGGGCAGCATACAAAGAAACAGGAAGTTGATATTAGGAAAGTAAAGGTTAAAGGTCAATATTTAAATGAGTTATATGACGTATATTTTGAATTACCATAACATATTTTATGTATGTTTTGAATTACCATAAGTTATTCTACACAAGTTAAGTTTTATAACTTATATTTAGATTTCAAGTACGTTAATTATTTTCTGAATTCCATTTGCTTAAATTGAAAATCATAGATCTGTTTGTTTAAATTTTAGAAGTTATTTGACAATGATTTTATAAACAATTATTTTCTGTAAGTATCACCATGGAAGTCTCATGCCTTGGGGGACTTAAATAAACCATTGGCTTCTAATTGGTCACCTTGTGGCCCTCTGTTTGTCATGGATCCATTGACCTTTGTTCTGACTGTCACTCTAGTGACCTCTGCTTTGTTCTATTCTGTACCGTGGTTATGGTTATGTATTTACATAAATTCTGTATTTCAGTTTCTGCTACTTAAATAATTTTTTTATTCAAATTAAGCTTAAATAACTATCAATGGTTATTTTGTGGCCCCTATACTCTTGGCATAATATTTCTCACTCTGCTATGTGTTTATAGCTATTACCCCTTTCAGGTGATGGGATATAAAGAAGAACTGTAACCTCGTAAGTGGGACCCGTACGGAATTTGATGTCGACCTGTTACATTTTGTTTTTCTTTCTTTTTTTTTTTCTAAAATTTTTTCACCACATAATAAAATAATAAAAGCCCCATGGATGTATATTTTATCATTAACGAAGTAAATTTTCTATTTAATTATTTTCTTACTTCCATTTTGCCTCCGCCTGCGCCATTTAATTTCTTAAGATTAAAATTAATTAGTAAGTTGCGATTCCAACCCTAAGCCCTTGGGGTTGGGTCGTGACAATATGATGCAGAACTTCATTGCGGTAAGTGTTTTTTCTATTTTCAGTTCAGTATTTTCTATACTTGGAATTATTCCCACTGATTTACTGATATATCTTCTCTGTTTTGCACTCCATGT